AAAACCCAGTGCCATTGTTCTTGAGTTCTCAGTAGTCCTCATTGTCCACTATGTTCAGCGAGTCTGGTTTTATCCCATGCTTTTTCAGACCCAGGCCAGCTGGCCTTGGTGAGTTCCCAATAGAATATCCCCATTGTCTCAGTGTGTGGATGCACCCCTTGCGGTCCTGAGTTCCTTGCTCGTGCTCTCTCTCCTTCTGCTCCTGATTTGGACCTTGAGATTTCAGTCTGGTGCTCCAATGTGGGTCTCTGTCTCTGTCTCCTTTCATTGCCTGATGAAGGTTAATATTCAGGAGGATGCCTATATGTTTTTCTTTTGGTTCACCTTCTTATTTAGCTTCTCTAGGATCACGAATTATAGGCTCAATGTCCTTTATTTATGGCTAGAAACCAAATATGAGTGAGTACATCCCATATCATGGGCATTTTTCATGTCCTTGTTTTTCCTACCTGAAAAATCCCTTTTGCCAAGTTAGGAGGGTGGGTTAGAAGAAAGTAATGAGCCAAAAGTCAGACCTCTACTTCCTGTTTATGGAACCTTAATTAATGATAAAGTTACTCACGAGAATCACCTTCTATAAATCATGGAGATGAAGTACAGCCGTGACCTCATGAACTCCTCCGCCTGCCGGAGACATCTAATCACAGAGCCAGAGTCTTGGGCTCCCAGATCAAAAGCTGGGATACATGCAGCATTCCAAGAGGACATTTAAATTAAAGACATAGACTGAGGTCTCGGAGGTAAGCCCTTGCCCACAATCATCTGATGACAGAGTTCACTGAAACATCAACCTGCTTTTTCCTTTTGTTTTGTTTTGGTTTGGTTTGGTTAACTCTCCCCCGTGGATCACTGTACAGCACCAGAGCATGATTTGCCATCACCATCCCCTTGATCATGGAACAACACTGGAGGACTGGGTGCTGGATCTTGTGGTCACAAACTCCATTCTCAAGCTGTGGCATAGTGTTCCAGAGCATTAATAATCTGCAAAGCAGTCAGCCCACAGCAAGTAACATTTCCTTTCAGGGTGGCTTCCTCACCCAACTGCCCCAAACCAACGAGAGCCTTGGCACAAGGACCAGAGAGTTGCATCGACCAGCCTAGAATGGCATAGTCAGCAGCTCTGACCAACCTTATAATTCTTCCCGCCCAAGAAGCAGTCCTCGGGAACCCCAAAGGAATCAGAGCACAGAGTGCGAGCTTGGAATGTGACTCTGTAAATCAACCACAGAAGAAAGGTTCACCCCTGATAATGTCTTAAAATTGCATATATCTCATAAACATGACCTGCCAACAGCAACCTCCACGACCCGTTCTAACCCTCACACTTTCAGACCCATTGGGTGGGGCGCAGACCAGGGAGCACCCACATTCTGCATAAGATGTGCACAGCTCTCCATGCCTCGTGATGTTCAACTCCAGACAATTAAGGGAAAACACAGAGGAAACTGAGCTGTAATGTAGGGAAGCAGGGCACCAAGCCGTGCTGTCACCAGGCCAGAAGCAAATCCTCAGACAGCTTTGCATGAAACTGGAAGCCTAAATCCTGAAAGGAAGCCCTGGCAAATTTTCAGTGGTCACGGGTACAAGTCTGAGTGCAAAGACCAGAGAGTACTGGACTATTGCTTACCTTGCAAATGCTTATATACTAAGACATTTGATTTTTCAATACTCTGGGAACATTCTTCCCTTCTACCACCCTCTCCCATTTTACAATTGAATACTCCAGCAAAGTTAAATAAAAAGTCTAG